GTAGAGTGAAGGGCCTAGTGGACCCAGCTGAGCCCAGGCTCCAGCCTACCTTCCATCTGAAAGCAGTTGCATGAGTGAGTCCAGGTGAGACCCTCAGCAAAAACCATCCATAGACTTATGGTAGTAAAACCTATCAATGTTGGTTTGTTGTTGCTGTTGATTTGAGACAGAGTTTTGCTTTTGTCACCCAGGCTAGAGTACAATGGCATGACCTCAGCTCACTGCAGCCTCCATCTCCCAGGTTCAAGGGATTCTCCTGTCTCTGCCTCCTGAGTAGCTGGAATTACAGATGCCTGCCACCATGCCCAGCTAATTTTTTTGTATTTTTAATAGAGATGGCGTTTCACCATGTTGGCCAGGCTGGTCTTGAACTCCTGACCTCAGGTGATCTGCCCACTTTGGCCTCCCAAAGTGCTAGGATTACAGGCGTGAGTCACTGCGCCTGGCCAATCAATGTTGTTTTAAGCCTCTATGATGTGGGGTAGTTTATTATGCAGCAGTAGATAAGTGATACAGAAACTGGAAGTCAGTCAGTGGCTCTCCTGAGTCTAGAAGGTCTGAAATGGTCTCTGACAGTAAGGCACCTCTCTGACAGCTGAGGTGCCTTAGTTCTTCATGTTGCCACTTAGTAGGCTAGCTGGGATTTTTTATAGCATGTTGGTCTCAGGCTTCCAAGAGAGCAATAATCAGAGGTTTCAAGGTCACTTAAGGCCTAACGTTGGAAAGTCACACAGCAACACTGCTGTAGATTGGATATTTGACCCTCCAAACCTCATGTTGAAATTTGATCCCTGATGTTGAAGATAGGGTCTAATGGGAAGTGTTTGGGGGCAGATCTTTCATGAATGACTTGATAACATCTTTGTGGTAACCAGTGAACTCTCTACTGCTGTATTAGTTCCCAGAAGAGCTGGTTGTTGAAAAGGGTCTGACACCTCCCTCCCATCTCTCTTGCCTCCTTTCTCACCATCTGATCTCTGCAAACCGTTTCCCCTTCCACTTCAGCCATTAATGGAAGCATCTTGAGGCTTCCACCAAATTCAGAAGCCAGCATCATGCTTCTTGGACAGCCTTCAGAACTGTGAGCCAGATAAACCCCTTTTCTTTATACACTACCCAGCTTCAGGTATTCTTTTATAGCAACACAAACACAAAGTAAGACAAGCGCTCAAGGGGTGGGGAAATAGACTGCAACTCTTGATGGAAAGAGGGGTAAAGCCATATAGCAAAACAGCCTGTAGGACGGGAGGGATTCTTGTGGTCATATTTGCAAACAGTAAACCACACCAGCTCTAGGCACCTGACTAATGCAAATATTTCTTTCTTTCATTGTGTGTATTCTGAGTTGGCAGTGTGTCAGCAAGAGTTCAGCATAGGGCTTGGCATGTGGTCACACCACTTTAATGCAGCAAAAACACCTAAAGTATTTATGTTCAAAAAGATAGAGATAGTCAGTTCTGGGCTGGTGGTGAGCATGAAGAGGAAGAGAGGAAGAGGGAAAACAAAAAGAAAGGATTGCCAAGTTTCTGGTAGTCTCTTGTGATATGAATCATGTGTTGTGAAAAGATCCATAATTCTCAGTAATTAGACTGTCCAACAAGCAATGGATTCAGTGTGTCTGACAACCTGACCCAGTGATAGAGGCTGCAGTACCTAAACTGTCTCAGGAGTCTGGCCCATGATGCAGCCCAAGTTATCTTGAAGCAACTGAAAGTCAGGATGAAGAAGGGCCAAAATGCCAGCTTTGTATCCCTCTTTATTTCCTCCAGCTCAGGCAAGTTGGTACTCTCATTTTTGATCTTCTTACAATTCTCTGTTAGGATGAAGGTGTATTCACTGCCCAGTGCTCAGGCCTCCTTTCAGTGTGGGATTGTACGTCTCATATGCTTTCTTTTTCCAAGGTTAGGTGTTTCTTAAGCCTTTAGCATGTTTGCATCGTTGCCTTCTATTTAATGGAAACAGTGGTTCCCTTCTATGAACAGAGTGACTCTGGGGAATGCAGGGCACAGTTTTAATAAGAGGCTAGGCAGAAATGGAGTCATGAAAGCTCTGAAAAGCATGACATCACAGCACTATCATTAATAACATGAACTATAGAATCAGACAGACTTGGGTTGAGTTCTAGTTTTAATCTCATTTTGAGTGTGCTGGCGTGGCAAGTTTCTAATTTTCCAAAAGAAATTATTGCTTATAATTCATCTTCAACATGGGAATTATGATAGTATTAATAACTTATGGGTTTGTTGGAAAGATTGACTGAGTAAGAGTATGTACAAAAGTGAAACGGTGGTTTGGGCCAAAGGAGGAATGCTTAACAACTTTCTTTGAAGCTAACCTTAAGTTGTAGACCATTTTTAAGGACAGATTTTGGTCTAGGTGTGAAGAAATGGTTCTACTTTAAAAGGCAAAATGTAGGATGAGATGGAAAAGTTTATCTAACACCCTGAGGCAGAGTTAGATCTGTCCTCCTCTGTGCTCCCACAGTATTCTGTACTGATTTCTACCAATAGTATTTATCTCTCTATGTTGTAATGATCTGTTTACACTGCATGGCAGTTTGGGACATTACAATGTGAACTCTTCAAGGTCAGCTACTCTGTCCTGGTCACCTTAGCATCCTAATCCCAGCATAGATCATGGACTGAGAGGAGACTGCAGTGTTGGGATGGATGAGTGAGTAGGTTGCCAGCCCAATCCACTGATTAAATCACTCCCCGATTTTTAAAGTCCAGTTTAAATCTCATCTGCTCTAAGAGGTCGCCTTTGGTTTTCATCTACTGTGAGAAATCTCCTTGTCAACTATACAACCTAAGTTATGACTATTGACCTTCGCTTCCTTTAAAAAATATTACTACTAAAAAATCTCTCTAGATTATGGGGAGAAGTGGTAACCAGCTCCACAAGTTTTCACACATGATATGTACTAGATAAAACATTTATTCAATTCAATATATTAAGTTTAAGTCTTTGAAGGTTATCCTACATGTTGGCTAAGAAATCTTGACAGAGGTGATAATCCCAAGCAAACAAGACCCAGAAGTAAATGTGTCCTTATAGCCTATGTATAATATGGAATTTACCCATTAACAAAGCCTAAGAGGCTCCAGATTAAATTATATTGCATCTGTGATATTATTTTAAAACAATTGGCATATAAAAAGTAGCATTAGAATTACAAAAGCTGTCTGCTGTTCTTCAAATTAATTTGCTTTCCCTGAGTTGTTTTTCTAGGAGCAACATGCAAACAAGCAAAACTGACAAATAATAAGATTTTTTATGGCATTGAAAAAAAAAAACTTTTGGATGTCATTGATATTACTAAATTTACATTAGATGCATAGGTTGTCTGATTCATTCCATCAGTTTTCACAGTAAGCCATTGTTTAAGTGAAATGTCTTCCTTCCCCACTGAGTTGCTGTGTGTGAACATAGCCTAATACAGCACTTACGGACTTCGTTGTAAGCTTGCATGGTTGTCACCCTTGCTGTGGTTTGGTGAAGCCAGGCCTAAGGGAGGGTGTAATTTAAAGCAGGGAGGAGGCATATGGGGAAGGGTCCCTTTTAACACAGAGAAAGCAACTCTGTGGGAGTGGAGGCTGGCAATCTGCTCAAAGGAAATGAAAGGAAATTCTTCATTTCTAAATGGTTCATTGACCCATGATAATAAAGCAAGCCTGCCAAAGATGGATAATTATCTTTTTAAGTATCAGATGCCCTGTGGGTGAAGGCCTCCCTACTCCTCTCTTGAGAAATGAACGCCGATTTTAAAAATGCTTCTTTTCATAGTTTACCATTGACATGAATTTCCTGATTATGAGCAAAATTAATCAGTTTCTTCTTTCTTTTCCCCTCTCTCTTATGGAAATCAGGCCTGACCAGCTGAGCTCAGTGTGTTTCCCCTTGGGCTCTGAGTTCTACCAATAGTGGAATGGGGTTGATATTCTAGTGAGACTAGCAATTGTAGAATTATGGTTTTATTATGCCCCTTAGCTGCTTAGCTCCAGGCAGGAGCATGGTGTCTTAAAACAACAAGAAAAAAGAAACAGAAAAATGTACAAGAGTTTGTTTCTCTTGTTAGTATCTAAAAACTAAACAAATTTTTTATATATATATGTAGTGTGTGTGTATACACACATGTGCATACATATGTGTATAGTAACTGAAATGTTACTGATGGGGTAACAGTGAATATTGATTTCCTATCAGTAATTAATCAAATTTCTATCCTTTTTTTCTCCAGATCTTATATGTTGCTGAGACCAGTAATGTAAATATGTTGCCTTGTCTAACTTGCAGAATGCATTAAGAATGTTTTATTTGAATAACGAGACAACCTCTTTCTTTCATGATTTAACTTCAAATGTCTTCTTTTGGATTCTAAAAAAAAAAATCAGTCTAAGGCACTCTTGTCATAAATTGCTTAACCACATGGCACATTTCTTAGTTATAGATAAAGTTCACTATACATTTTCAGAATGTCTACACTCTTTTAAAAATAAAATAAACATCTACTTTTGTATGTTCATTGCATAGTTCTCTTATTTCTCTAAACAGATAATTTAAATTAAAAATTTATCACCATGTTCTACCTAGAGAAACCAAATGGATATTCCAGTTGCTTCTTCAACCTAGTGCCTTTGGCAGCTGAAGCAGACACAGCTTTAGAATAGGGGTCAAGAGATAATGGTCTAGAATAGATCTTGCCTCCTGGCATAATTATCTCACCATACACTTGAGTCTGTCTGTACACGTATGTCCCTTTCTTTTGCGAGAAATTCTTCTGTGTACCACAGCTTCTCCTTCAAAGTGTAATTATCCATGTATGGAGGCTCCCTTTGTACTCTTTGGAGTTCAGTGGATGGTAAATATCTGTTTCTTCGTTCCTTAGTCTTTGAGAGTTCAGGCCCTGGTCCAAGAGTATTCAATTCTGTGGGTATAAACTGCTTTGTTAGAACACTACCCAAAGCCAGCAGCATGGACCTTAACAGACCTTGCTACAGATGTCCTCGTGTGTCCGCTGCGGCCAGTGGAGCGCTTCCGCGACCTGCGACCTGATGAAGTGGCTGATTTGTTTCAGGTGACCCAGAGAGTCGGGACAGTGGTGGAAAAACATTTCCACGGGACCTCTCTCACCTTTTCCATGCAGGTGAGTGTACAGATTACTCAGAAATGATTTTTCTTGGTTTTCAAATCCCAATATTGGGCTTGCTCCTCCTGACATCTCACCAGGAAGGCAGATGTGATTGTTTGTATTTTATGTAGCAGTCGAAAAAAGACATTATTAATGCAGGGCAGCCCTAGTGTCCGTCGGCCCCAAGATGGACCATGGAATACCATCCAAGGTGATGTCTGAGACTTTTTTACCAAGTAGGTGGGAGTAATGGATAAGTGATTTAATGGACATTCAGACATTCCAGATTGCTTACTGGAACTGGGACTGGAGAAATCATTTTCATTCCATGGTAACTAATTTTTGAACACTGCACGGACAAAGCCCTGCTCTAATTCCAGGGTGGCAGTGATATGCAGCTTAGGTTGGGCCTTACCTTTTGTCTGTCTTTAATTCAAGCTGCAGAGGTTGATCACAGATTAGTTAGAAGCTAGATTGACTGGTTAGGTGTGGCCTACTAACCAGTAAAGAAATCAGATCCCCAGTCACTGGAGATTTTTAGGCAGAGGTTGAACCAACACTTCTCAGGTTGGGAGAAGGATGTCCATGGTGAGTCATCAATAGGGAATTGAGTAAATCCGTAGTAACATACCATGAGCTCCTTCAGATCCTCTATAGAAAGGGCTGGGGTGTCAATGCATAAAGTCCTTCATGGCTCTGAAATTGGATGACTCTGTAATTGCCCTTTGCAAAGACACACTTTCAAAATGTGGGGATTCTGTACCCAGCCTGTTAAACTGAATGTTTGTCATTCTTCCTCCCCTCCTCAGCAATCTACCATAGAGCTTCAAAGAGACCAGATAAAGAAAGCCAGTGTTTTCAGGTTATAAAGGCTCTAACTAAAAGTGCTCATCTTTTCAAACAGATCTTTTTCTTTCTTTTTTTGCTGCCATATCTGTGTTAAAAGTAGCTAAACTTCCCCCAAATGCTTTGTGTGTGTGTGTTGTATGTCAAACCATCTGGGTCACCTCTAGGCAGGGAGTTCAGCTCAGAGTGGGTTTATCAAGCTTATGTTGCAAACGGTGTTCCTGGAGAGGCCAAACGAAGGCAGTGAATGAAAACCTCTCTTAATGTTTAGTGAGATACAAGAATAAAAATCACATTTATAGGAAATGACCATTGCTGGTTATGAAACATGTTTCACTAGAAAGATAATTCCATACATGTAAGAGCTGACTTGTGTTACCACCTAGAGTACTTTCGTATATGCAATGTGGTCAAACTTTTTTTTTTTACTGTAACTTACAGCAAGATATATATTTATTTCAAAATCATGCATGTCCCCCCTGGCACGCATATATGAAATATATGCATATGCCTATATTGATAAAGGAAACCAGAGTTTCACAAAACAATGTTTACTCATTCTGTGCAGTCTAATAGTTTTTATTCTATTAAGATCTGATTTCTGGCTGGGTGCGGTGGTTCACGCCTGTAATCCCAGCACTTTGGGAGGCTAAGACCAGCAGCTCTCTTGAGCTCAGGAGTTTGAGATTAGCCTGGGCAACATGGCAAAAACCTGTCCCTAAAAACATACAAAAATTAGCCAGGCATGATGGTGCATGCCTGTAGTCCCAGTTACTCGGGAGGCTGAGGCAGGAGAATCACTTGAGTCCAGAAGGTCAAGGCTGCAGTGAGCCGCCATCATGCCACCACACTCTGGCCTGGACAGCTGAGTAAGACCCTGTATAAAACAACAACAACAGCAGCAACAAAAACACCTGATTTATTTTGTTTGTAATGCTGATTGCAACCTATTACGTTGACTTCATGACCCACTAATAGGTTGTGACTCAAAGTTTGAAAATCCCTGATATACACAGTTGTGCTTAATCCTTGCCATAGCAGGGCAGGAGTTCTCACCCCATCAGTCAGGCTCGTAGAGGTAGACAGACCTGGCTAAAGTTGCAGAAGCCAAATTCTATTTTGGAATTTCTGGTTGTGGAGCTATTGCTTGTTTTGCCATCTCAACCAACTGAGTATCCGCTTTTGCTTTTTATTATGGCCGGTTACTTGGTGAGTTTGCTCATTTTCAACTAAGCTTCAGAAACAGAGAAAGGGAACCAGGTTGGGAAAAGGGTCCAGCTACAATGAACACTACCATTGGTCTCCCCCAAGGTCAGAATAGCCAGAGAGGTCTCTTCTCATATGAAATACCCCATATTCTTGCTTAATGGCTTATGTTTATAGCAGATTTCCTGAGTAGAAGCTTAAAGTAATCAGACTTTAATTAAACCACATCTAAAGACAACCAAAAGGTGTGATACTTCACCTCCCCAAACATTTTCAGCCTTCTTTTAATGCAGTTAAAACCATAGCCAAGAGCAAAGAGCATGAAAAGTAGCAAGGAGTTGGCTTGCTGGATAATTTATATCATTTTTATACATAACTTCTCACTCTCAGGCGGAAATGGAGAACTGTCTAGTCCCACACATTTGAAGCCAATGGTCCCCATGAGAATACTATAAATTAACACACAATGAAATTGCATCTAAATTATTAATGGGTGATATTTCTGAATAAGGAGATACCATCTATCTATTCTCACCTCTGTTGGTTTTTTCCTACTTCTAGGATGGCCCCGAAGCTGGACAGACTGTGAAGGTGAGTGCTTATTATGTGCATACAAATTAATAAGAGGCGATTATGAGAACTAATAAAAAATCACAACGAGTCATTTGCAGCACATTGCTGTTTCATTATGTTATCTTCGAGGTCAGAGAGACCCTCAGTGTTAGAGCCATAAATCCTGACATTATAAACTCTGCCAAACAATATGTTTCCCATTAGTTTACAAGACATTTACTTTTAGTAGTAAAATTATTATTGTGCAAATGCTAAAACAGAAACTAAATCAAGGAGTCCGGAAACAGAAGTCAAAGTGGTTCATGTGCGGGAGTGTCTAGGAAATAGCATGTGAGCTTCCTGTGGGTTTTTGCAGCCCCATGTTAAGCCTGGGGTGTCTTTGACACACCTCTGCTTCTTGACATAGTCTGCTTTTGCTTCATTGTTCTTGAGTGTAGGGATAACCGCAGCAGTAGCATCAAGCTGCCTCCCTTCCTTCCTGTCTCTGTGCTTCTCTCTGTTCTCCTTCTCGTCACCCCCACACCTACTCTTTTCCTCCCTATGTACTTAATACCAAAGTTCAAACCTAATGGAGTCAGTGGAGCTCAAAGATGGGTTTTTAAGTGTGCTAGGAGAAGAAAGGAGGATTTATTAGGATAGTCTCTGCTTCTGTAGTAAAAATAAAATAATAAAATCCTGGCTGATTCAGAAGCTGGGTTTCAGCTCTTTTCATACAAACACTAATTCCTATACGGGTAGATCCTGCACCTAAGTCACAGAAAAGGCTCTATATTTGGTGCTAGAAGTCAGACGCAAGTCAGGCTGGGATGTTAATGTTACACTTTGTTGAAATAAAGTTTAATGGTTCGAAGACTAGCTGTGAGTGGATAAGGTGATGCCCGCACAAACAATGCCAAATAAATGTAAATTCCCTTTTGATCTTACTTTACTTTGGACTTTAACACAGCTATTCTGGGACTTTTAAAATAGAATCTCTGGGAAATACCTCTAAGAAGTGAAAGTTTATGTAGGGGCTGCCACCATAGGAGCCACCAAATTCCTTATCATAAAAAAGGGCTAGCCTCCTAATTGCTCTACACACACGGTGTGGTGATAGACAGAGACTTTCAGCTTTCCTCTATCCCACTGTCTCACCTCCATGTGAGGCTCTAAATATACAGATGCAAAGAAAGGATTTAATACCTGTGGCTTGTTTTTGAAATCAATTCTTCAAATGCAAAACACAAATGTTTAAACTTGGTTCCCCGATTTTTTAAAATTCAGCATTCAAATGTAAATTCCAACTATACCGGATTGGTTAGGTGCACTATGCAATATCTGTTTGATGGAATTCCTTCAGCCATTGAAAGTCATACTGTCGAGGCATAGCTAGTGACACGGGAGAATGCACAAACTGTATTAAGTGGAATGCACAGAATGATAATAGGTACATAGTGAGCGTAGCTGAAACGTATATGAATAGATAGGTTATATGATCTCAAAATTTCATTTAGCTATTCTAAAGCGGGGTAGAAAATATTTGCTCTACAACAGGCTCTGAATAGAGACAGAAAGTAGATTAGTGATTGCCAGGGACTGGGACAAGGAAGGAATGGGGAATGATTTCTAATGGGTACAGGTTTCTTTTAGGGTAATGAAAATGTTGTGGACTTAGTGGTGATGGTTGTGCAACATTGTGGATATAATAAAGCCACTGAATTGTATGTCTTAAAATGGTGAATTTTATGATATTTGAATTATCTCTTGACTAAAATTAATACACACACACACACACAAAACAAATAAGCAGTGAGCCTAGCTGAGCTGATAACTATGGCTATAGATTATGTAGCTTCAATAGTAATTACTTTTTAATGTCCCAATTATCTGGCCAAAATGTGTAATGTTTTTGTTAGCTTTGATGGTGATGATGATGGACTAATTCTTAACAGATAGTACTTATATTTGAATTGTTGAATGTGGTTATTGTTATCACCACTCTGATTGTTTAGCTTAAGTTGATGTTTTAAAAATAATTCTGTTTTCTAAATCAGCAGATTATGTTGTTTTGCATATCTTTCAATTGTTTCCAACCTGATTACAGAAGTCCCCTGATATGAATTAATGGGGATATCTTGACTCATTTGTAGAATACGGTGGTTGAAAGAAAACCACCATACACACACACACACACACACACACACACACGCACACACACACAGGCGTAAAATCCCAGAGAACAATGAAGGTTCCAAAGCTCTTTAGACAAAGTATCCATATCTAAAGTTGTTGAATCTGCTTTTCAAAATGTGATCTTTGTATCACCTGCATGAAAATTAACTTTGATATCAGTCAACAACAACAAAAAGTTGATTCTCAGGTCTTATTCTAAACCTACTTATTTAGAATATTGTGACTGGGGCTTGGGAATCTTCACTATTAACAAGCACATCCCATGATACATATTTGCCAGCCTCAGTATTGTATGATGATAAAATATTGAGTGACAGTGGTCACATAATTATGACCCCTGGAAGCCAGTCTTGCAGTAGCCAGTCCCTCTAGGGGACAAAGCAGCATCTTTAATATTCAGCTGTCCAGTTGTGAAAACTACAATTCAAGACTCTGAGCATTTCATATTTTGAAATTCACACAGTTGCACATTTTAAGGCAGCATTTGACAACCTGCCATGGAAAGCACAGTGACTGTTCTCTTCATCTTTGCCTCCGTGTCTCATTCTTGATATTCTGCCTGATCCCTGGGTTCTAAACCATTTTTGTCTCATGCTGAGTGGTAATAGCAATAAGCCCAGTAATGGTCTTTGCCCCTGGAGCACCTGTTGTTATTGTTAATGAAGGCGCACCACTGAGTTAGCCTCTTGAACATGATACCACTGTAGGGTTTTTTGTTTCAGGGGCTTTAAATTCTGCTTTGCAAAGAACAAGCGTGTCCTCGCTTACTCAGTAAGGCACTTGTAGTCAGGAAAGGGAAATATCGAAGTGAAAAAGTGACCTCTTATTTCACAATTGATTATTAACTCTCCTTTTTGGGTTTAAAAGTAGTAGAACCCTGCCATCCACAAGGTGATTGTTGCAGCAGTTTGATGTCCTGCAGGCTTGAGAAATAATCTTTTTCTTTCATCTTCAACCATACAGATCCAAACAGCCCCCCTGACCGTTCATCTGAAGTAGCTCTCTTAAACCCCTGCTCTCTGTCCTGGTGCATGATTTGATTTCTCTCAAGGTGTTCTTCGTTGTCTTTTATTTGTTTGGCTATGCACCTGTACCTCTGTCTTTTCTCTAATTCTTTGAGAAGGTAAGCTTGTGAGGACCTGGATTTTGTCATTGTTTATGATAGGTCTCAGGACATGCTACCCCCAAAATATGCTAGCTCTGCATACTAAGTATTTTAAGGTGAAGGAAACTGAGAAAACTACAGAAGCAGGAAGATCGCTCTCTGACCTTCTTCCATTTGTCTACCCTCAAGTGTGCCATAAAAGAATTATCTGACCTATCACCCCTGCAAGTAGGTCACAAGGCCCTCATTCCAGAGGAGTTCTGCCCTCTACTTACATGCCAAGAAGAATCTGAACAAATAGGCCTTGCTAAGTTTTCCCCAATTTATTACCGTCAAGTCATACTCTTTTATCGTCCAATCATACCTCTGCATGACTGTCCATAAAAATACACAGTTGTCTTTAGGTCTTTATTTCTGAAGGCTCCCATGGCACATAAAACTTATATTAAATACATTTGTTCGGCTTTTCTCTTGTTAATCTGTATTGTGTTACAGGGGTCTGAGCCATGAACCAGGCAATGGGTAAGGAAATGATATGGCTTTTTCTGCCCTGTATTTTTTTTTTTTTTTTTATTGAGACGGAGTCTCGCTCTGTCGCCCATGCTGGGGTGCAGTGGCGGATCTCAGCTCACTGCAAGCTCCGCCTCCCGGGTTTACGCCATTCTCCTGCCTCAGCCTCCCGAGTAGCTGGGACTACAGGCGCCCGCCACCGCGCCCGGCTAATTTTTTGTATTTTTTAGTAGAGACGGGCTTTCACCGTGTTAGCCAGGATGGTCTCGATCTCCTGACCTCGTGATCCGCCCGTCTCGGCCTCCCAAAGTGCTGGGATTACAGGCTTGAGCCACCGCGCCCGGCATGTCCTGTATTTTCTATGGCTATTTTGTGTGGGGAAGAGAATGATGATGATAATGGAACTTTGCTTGTTGCTTGTTGGAACAAATCTCATAAGTTTCTAACTTTAGTTAACATGAAGTAGAAGGTGATATGTATGTGTATTCCAGCATGCAGTCAGGGGTATTCCTGGAATCTCTATCAAAAGTCTCCTATATTCCAGGTGTTACTAACAAAGGCAAAATTTCCATGAATCAAGTTCTCAAATCATGTTCCAAAATGTAATTCCATCTAACCAAACCATTAAGGCAATATTCATTTCTTTAGAAGCGAAGCTGCTTAATAAGTTTAATGTGAGCTATCTTTTAGAAAAATTGGTATGTACATCTTTGGTTGGGAGGCCATTTTAGGTATATTAAAGAGAGATTTATTCCAGGCAGGTAATCTGGAATGTCATAAGAACTATTTATAGATTACGCTTGCTTACACTCTTCTATGTTTATGGTACTTGAATCTTCTACTTAGAAATTTAATTTTATAGTATTAATGCAGTGGGAAGTAGCTGTTAATAACTTTTGAGATATTAGAAATTACTTTTTAGATTGCTCTAGAAGAATAAGATAATTATTTATAGAAGTATAATTCAAAAATTAAAGGAGATAAAAAGGAAGCTCTTCTCTTCACTGAGAAGTTTCTGTGGTTCTAGAACAAATTTTCCACCCGAAAATTTGGTAATGTTTCAGATTCATGAAAATGAGGACATTTTATCTCTTAATTAAGTCTAGTAGTTAACATACTTTGGCATCAGTCAGAGGTTCCATTAGGAATATTAGCCCCTATTAACTTCCTAACTGTGCACCTTTGGATCAGCCTTTTAGCCTCTGTGAACATCTATTTCCTTGTTTTTTTG